AAGTGAAAGGTAAAGGATAATTAACCAAAGTACCCTACTCTGTATCCTCCATCTAGGAGAAAAAAAGATCTGTAAACCAATCTGGACATTTCTAGAAGATTTACTTGTATAGTAATATGGATACAGCAGTTCTGAAATTATTTTATATTTTACAGGACAGAACAGGTAAACATATTAATGTTGAACAGGATTCTCATAGTGGAAATATGACAACTGGTAAATCCCGGTAAGGAAAGTATGCAGTAATTCTCAGTATTTTTGCAACCTTTGTAGAAATGATTTTTTGAACTTTTAAATGTAAGGAGAAAAAAGCTGGTTTAATTTTGCTTGCATTTCATTTAATGTATCCATAAATGTGACATAAAATTATTTGACTAAATATTCATATTCCACTTTTTCCACTTTGCCATACTGCCTAAGAAAGAATGCCAGTTTCTATTTCCTTGGCTCTTATCTCTAAGTTGCTTAGTCTTTTTTTCCTCATGAAGTGATAAACTGCTTTGTTTGCCCACCTCTAATGAACTATAATGATCTTATAACACACTTCATTGAGACTAGTAGAACAAACCTTTTCTTTTTTTTATTTGCAGAACCGGGGATTGAACTCAGGCCCTTGCGCTTGCCAGGGAAGCGCTTATTCCACTAAGCTTCATCTCCCCGGCTCCTGAACAAAACTTTTCTGTTCTCACAGATCTAACCCAAACTCTACATAGAATAAATGTTTAAGTCTTGATAATTTGCTAACAGAATATTATACAGATCATAACTGAGGAAAGTCACACACACACACACACACACAAATCACACAAAAAAAACCTACCTTCTATTTCTTGTCCAATAGAAAGTCCAGCCCATTTTCGCTATAAAATAAAAAGATACTTAAATGAGAAAAAAGGAAATTCTATGAATTTCAGGAACACATTCTAATTCTAAAACATTTGGTGTTGAATTGTCGCCACTCCCAAAAACATGTTTAAGTCTTAGCCCCAGGTACCTGTGAACATGACTATATTTAGAAATAGGGTCTCTGCAGACACAATCACATGAGGTTATACTAAATTAAGGTGGTCCTTATGCCAGTGGTATCCTTATGAGAAAAAGACACAAAGAGAACATCATGTAATAAGAGGAACAGAGATTGCAGTGATGTGTCTACAAGCCAAGGAACCTCAAGGACTGCCACCAACACTAGACGCTGAACATGGAAGAGGACCTTCCCTCCATGCTTTAGAGAGAGCATACCTCTGCTAACACCCTGCTTTCATAATTCTAGCTTCCAGAACTATAAAGAAAACACATTTCTGGTCTCTGTTTGTAATTTTTGTTTTTGCAAACTATTCTTTTTTAAATTAATTTTTTCTATTGCTGTTGCTTAATTTTTCTGTTGTTTTAATTGTGTTCTTATTGCAGTGTTAGGAAATAATGTTGAGGCTATAGTTTATATCTGAATGCCTGTTCCAAAACATAGAGGGCTTGCCTTTTTTTACTAAAACTGGCCCACCAAGTAGAATGCTCCACTGCACAATATATTTGTTCCTGAAGTCTTCACTGTTTAAAACGTTTCAGTGTTCTAAAGATACAGCTGCAGTTAGTTTTACTGTTCATTATAGAATCACAGAAAGAAATCTGGCCAGGCATGGTGATGCACACAGTACTTGGGAGCCTGGTCAGGATATCTGCCCTAAGTTTGAGGCCAGGCTGGCCTACACAATGAGTTCTAGACCAGTTAAAACTACTACACAGCAAAACCCTATCCCTAATTAATTAATTAATTAAAATTAAAGCTGGTCAGATAAACTATACTGAAACCCAAGCAAGGACATGAAACTATGTGTACTGACCAAAGGATTTTCAGCTATTAACCATAACACTTTAGCCTCTCCCCAATTCTGTCTACAGCAGCAAAAAATACAATGGTAGAACAAATTGTGCTCAGGGAAGAATTCAGCACTGGCTTGGTATAAATTCAAAACTAATAATTACTCACTGCACTCTAAAGAATAGTGAGAAAAAGAACTTTGAGCTAGAAATCCATAGTTGGCCTGCTTTACTAAACTTTCTAGATTTTGTGGTGGTAAGTCTTAAGTTGCTGCATCATGATTATACACAATAACAAGTACACCATTCTAGCTTTTGCACCATGTGCCATACGCCCTCCTCTCTGTCCTTCAGTTCCCTTAAAAGCTCCTTTCTGTAATCTCCACATCTGACCAACCTGGCAATTTGCAGCATGCTAGTTAAACCCAGACTTTGGGTCACAAAGTTGTCACATTAAGGGTCTATACTTTAACCTCCAAGATAACCACAAGATATGACAATAGCAATAACTATTAACACAGTTGCTTTGAAAATACAATAAGCTAAAACACTCAAAAGCACTTACAATAGTCCCTGGCCTACAGTAAATCTTAGGAGAAATTATTTCTTACAAAGCAAAGAGACAAAGAGAAACAGCTGCCTCAAGGTACTTCTGACCACCTGAATTCCAAATAAAGCTTCAAAAAAGCTAGTACACTCTAGAATATCTCAGGTTTCTTATCCATGTAAACAAATGCAAAAAGTAATCCTAATAGAGTGGTATCCAGGCAGAGGAAAGGGGAATAGTGAACAGAGATTTCCCACTATTTTTAAGGGATTCAACAGACTGCTAACAGTTCCCAAATAAGTATCTGATCTAGACGTAAGGGTGAAAACAATGGACACCAGTCTGTGTGGTGCACTTGTACTACGAATGGCTTTCCTTGGACAGCATTAGGCTTGCTGCCTCTGTGGATTCGACTACAATTATAACCACAGTCAAAATCCTTCCTGTTGTTAGAGAAGCCTAGCAAGTTAGGCTGTAGTTTGAGAAAACTACTTTTCATATTCTTTAGCCTGATACTACTTTGTAAAACATCTATTTTATAAATAAGTATCATTTTTATATATTTTGTTACTCTGGGAACTAGCATTAAAATGATGCACTTTATCTGAGAGCTGACTGACACTACTGCAATTTTTTAAGAAACTGAAAAAAGTAGAATAAGTGCTTCCTGGCAAGCACAGGGTCCTAAGTTCAATCCCCTGTGCTGGAAAAAAAAAAAAAAGAAAGAAAGAAACTGAAAAAATGAAAGGCAGTAAAAGGCAGCCCCAGTAAAAACTGTTAATTAAGAATATATTTTTAAGGGGGCCAGGGAGATGGCTCAGTAGGTTAAGTGCTTCCCTGGCAAGCACAAGGGCCAGAGTTCAATCCCTGGTTCCGCCAAAAAAAAGAATATATTTTTAAATCCTTTATATAATATCTAGATGTTTTTCTTCAAAATGAATCAACATAGTTATAGGGTGGTATTTGCTTAAAGTCAATGGACATCTCTACAGCTCTTAAGAACAGGTGCAAACAAACTGACACCTGAGTTACCTGAGGTAAGCTGAATGCAATGCTCCCTGGAACCACTGACGGATGTGTCTTCAGAGTAAACGTGTACCTGTGATTGGGTGAGGTCCTCACTACCACATGCCTAAAAGACAGAAACACAGTCAGTACTCTATGTCAAAGAGAATGTAGAATATAATTTCTAAATGTGCTTTTTCCCAAATTTATGTTTGGTAAGAACTAGGTGAAAACATAGTATCACAAAAGTCCTGAAGTATAGGCCCAAAAATTTAGTTTCCAAAAACTGTCAGTAATTGAAAATCTTTTCCAGGGCTGGGGAGATAGCTCAGTCAATCCCCAGTACAAAAAGCAAAACAAAACAAAAACAAAAATAAAAAACACCTTAAAAAACCCAAAATCTTTTCCAGATATAACAAACACATTGTGCCATGCCAGCCCTACCCCCAGGGCGGGCTGAGAATTGAGACTGGGCATGATAGCACACACCTATAATCCCAGCAGTTGGAAGGCTGAAAACAGAAGAATCACTATGAGTCCAATCTATGTAGAGAGACCCTGTAGACCCTGCACTAACATACATAATAAATAAATAAATAAATAAATAAAAAGCATGTTGTACCATGAATACATCAAGCAGAATCCAGCCAAGTTCAACAAAGTATATCCAATCCAAAACATCAACTTAAAAAAAAAAAAAATCAACTTCATTATATTTCTAGTAAGTTAGATTGTAGTTTGAAAAACTACTTTTCATATTCTTTAGTCTGATACTACATTATAAAATATTTATCTAACACTAAATAAACCTAGTGATTAGAGTTCTTGATATTAACTTTTTTAAAAACTGGACAAATTTCCTCTCCTGAGAATCATTAAACATACTAACAAAATAAGGTAGAAGAATCAAATGTACGATGTCATAATTTGCTTTTCTCATGTTTACATATTTGGTACAGAGTCTCACTACAGAGCTCAGACTCATTGTGATCCTCCTGTTTTCAGCCTCCCCAGTGCCACCATGCTCGGACTCAGTCACCAGCTCAGCGGGCCCCAAAGCTGTAATTTTTAATGGTAATGGTTAATGTTTTTCTGTGCATACTGCTTTGTCAACTAAAACACAAGACCTTTATAAGTGTATTTTAAGTAACCCTGTCATGAGTACAGAGATTATTCAACATATGTAGAATTCTACCAATTCTCACATTTATTA